TACACGTGTAAATGCAGTGGTGGGGAGGGCTGCGTGGCTTTTTGGATTGCTTTTCATCAAGGCTGTCAGTACTTGCTCAGTTGACAAGAATCAAAAATGATCTGATTGCTCCCAATTTTGTATTAATTATTATTATTACTGCAGGCTCGTATTTAGTTCCTAGATCTGACATGTATGAACAACTTTAAGTCAWCTAATAAAAACAATGCGCTCCATCCCCAACCTGTAGGTAGGGGAGGTAGGTAGGTAGGTTGCTGGTAGGTAGGTTTCCATAGGTAGGTTTTCCTTAGAGTAGGGTTTCTTTCACAAGACACGATAAGCCCATCTTTAAGTGGCTGCTGCTGCTAAAAGCTGATCCCACACCGAACTCTCCCCCYTTATACTGTTGACCTGGTATTGGTGCTGTTCCTTTTCCATGATCTTACTCAGTTGGCTTGCCCAAAGAGCCGGAGGGGGGAAAATGCCATCCATGAGTTGGCTCTGTACCCGATCAGCTGGAACCTTCCTAAGATGCTGCACTGCTCTGCTGGAGGYGAAAACCTGCAGGGCTCGGGGAGAGGGAACTGCTGGAGGCTGGTGGCTCGGCCACACWGCCGGAGCGTTGGAGCCCACGGTGACAAATGATGCAAATGATGCAACTCGGGAATGAAGTTCTGTAGGTTGCTCAGCAGAAGGAGCAGACACAGGATCAATGCTGTCCATGAGCAAGGCCCTTAGGGAGCCGGGAGCAGCACCRGAGAACAAGGAGCCTCCTGAGGGTCTCCAGGTTTGCCCTGGCCRGTTGAGCTGTATCCCCAAAAGGTTGTTAAATGTGCTGTGATCCCTTAAGGGTGCCTGAGTAGAGCTGCTCCTCTAAATGACTCGTTGAGCCTTATCAGTGTGGCATTGCTACAATATATTAACTTTTAGTCAGAGATATTTAAACKGGAGCAGGACTGCAATTTGCCTGGAGTGGTTTTTCTGATTTACTGCTTGTTAGTGAAATTTAACATTCATTTCGAAGATTCTCTAAATCAATATGTTAACATTTTTGTAAATTCAAATAGCTTTTTTTTTTAATTGCTCTTACATTAAGTATTTTTGAAACTTTGAATCTCTTTGAATTGGAAATAGAAATCTTCCCCTAAAACAACTGCCAATTTTAATGTACCTAGAGCACACTTTATTAGAATATATTTTTGTAATTTTACTAAATAGCTGTATCTTTCTTTTTTCCTGACCATTTTGCGTCCACCATTTTAACTCTCAGAGGTGKCTATGAATGGTTATAGGGTTTCTTGTATCTTCGAATAATCTTAGTTTATTTTCTTTTTTTAAAAAAACAAGAACATCTCAAAGCCTTGTTGTGAGAAAAAGGGGGAAGTTCTAAACAAGTTCTTAGTGAAAAGCTTCTGTAATCATGACCTTCAACATGCATTTCCTTTCAGCTTCTCAGTTTTGTGCCTTTTGAACCATTCCCGTTAAGCGTGACAGATGGGCACATCTTTCCTTTGGGTTTGAAGTCTCTTTTGAAAATAAGTGGAAGAACGGAGAAGAGGGGTAAAATGATCCCGAGAGTTGAGGGAATGGCTCTCTCGAGTTTCCCATCACCTGTTGTATGCACTGAGAGTCAAGTGCTGCCTCTTACTGAGATGGCAGTTGAGTCATTTTTTCATAATAATATTTTATGCTGTTGGATTCCAGGTAGTTGTAGAGAGAATGAATTTTTACTACTTGATCTAATGACCTTAATGGTGGGCTAAAGGTGGAAGAGTTTCATCAAGTTCATTACTTTAAATGTGCCCTGAGGATCATTATTGTTCATACACAGGCAACTGAATGCAAGCAAAATCTGTTTATGGAATTAGACCATATTTAAGGATACTGAAATTTCTGCCAAACAAGAAGCACAGTGAAATTTCATCTGCCAGTTATATTGCTCTTAATGTTCTTTAATTTAGCAGACAAGATAGTTTGGTTGTAATTAAGCTTTTCTAATACTGCTGTTCCCCAAGTTGTGGCATAAATCACTTGACTCGGTAATTTCCTGCCTCTTCACTGCATCCATTTATCTTCTATAATTCTTGCATAAGCCATCTCTGGGATGCAACAAAACTTCACGTTGTGAACTACCACTTGAGTCTATTACAGAATTTTGAATATAGGCAGTTAAATCTGTTTTTCTCCCTGGGCTTTTTTCTTTTTTTGGCAGTTTGGTGACCTGTTGCTTTGGCCCGGGCTCCCGTCCGGCTGCGCCCAGTCCGGCAGTACCTGGCAGGGCCGGCGCGGCRGCTCCCAGCGGGGTCTTGCCCTGGGCCTGCCTGGCAGGCCGGCCCAGGCGCCGGAGCTGGAGCAGCTCCTCAGCAACGATTGCACTTGCAAGGAAATACGTTTCTCTTGATTTTTTTGGCCTTTCTGCTTTTCCCCAGAAGATATGGTATGGGCTTCCATTCTTCTTACTTTTTCTCTCAACTTTATCTSAGTTAAGAAATTGTAGCAATAGGTCATTAAAATCTTCCAGCACTTCATGCTCATAGAAGAGCATAGGCACCTGCCATGCTGGAGTTATCTGGCAGATCAATATTAGCGTGACTGGCAGGTCTGACCAGGCAGTTCATGGGGTTATTGACATTACATGCAATATTTGCACTGAAAAATAAAGGGGCATCTCTTTTTTTTTTTTGTGTGTGTATAAAGAATGTGCAGTATCACCTGTATGGTGATTGCATGCAACTTGAAATAAAAGTAAAATTAAATAAAATTGAAAAGAAAAATAAAACCCAAAATACACATAACGATTGTTTGAATCTGTAGTTGAGGTCGGACTTTGAGAAGTTTGGGATTAGCGTAATTTCAGAGAGAGAGAGAGAGAGAGAGACCTTTTAGATGACCAAACCGCCACCTAAACAGCGCCCGCTGTTGCTGCCCTGCCTGCTCTGGCAGCCTTGCAGGGGGCTGTGGGACAGGTTATTCCGTGTCTGATGCTGGTTGCCCAGTACCTTTCCCAGGCACCTTCATGTCAGCCTGCAAAGTGGGTGAGGAACCGCAGCCCGATGTTTGCTCTGCCCTTGGTTGCTCTAGGAACTTGATCGGATTTTTTCATACATTTAAAATAATACTTTGTACCACCTCATATTAAAACAGTTGTTATTATCYTAAAAGAAAATCCCTCACTCCTGCTAAAGAAGTGCGGTTTTGATCATGACTGAGTGAAATAAGCTGCAAATGCCTGTGGTAGGTATTTCTATCGAAGCTTAGATTACAGCAGAGAGCCCGTTATAACTCAGCTACACTTTCTGTGTCAGATTCTGTTCTATAAATGAACGTTATGTTTTTCTTTTTTTTTTCTGTGAGCTTCTGAAATTCACAGCTATATTTTTTAAAGCCAGCATTGTTTAGAAAGTTACCTGCGATAAGGTCTTTAGGRCTGGTTTAAGTGGTGCTGTTCCGAAGGCTCGCGGTCGCTGATAGCGAGTGTCAGAAGGAATAATTGCTTTCAGTTCCAGGTTGGGCTCTTGGACTAGTGTGTGTGCACAACAGCAAAAAGAAATTTCTTTCCAAGTACTGATTCCTTCAGATAAATTCTCCATATACCTTTCATGACTCTTTTGGGGTTTTTTTCTTCATTTTTTATCCTTAGTTATTGCACAAAACATGTCAGACTTAAAAAGCTGAATTAGAGAAGTTTCTGAGAGCAGTGCTCCCTCTGGTCTTTGTGAATGTGAAGTACCTCAGGTGTGGGTTGCCATTAAGTCTTTCAGTGTTTCCTGTGTGTGCGTGAGAGAGATTTCCTGGAAGAATCTTAATGAAATTCCGGGAAAAAGGCACATTGGCAATTAAATTAATTTGTCTTAAACTGAAAATATGGGACACAACAAAGGAGCCTTCCATAGGTTAGGCAGTTCCAGCTTCCCGCATTTCACATTTATAAAAATTAAGACAGTGGTTTTAGAGGCATTTCTCTTTATTTGGGCCTTGGAATTCAGAGGTTACAGTAAAAAGCTTTTCCCTTTACTGAAGTTTTTGTTTTTTTCCACAGCTTTTACCCTTAATTGTTTTTCGAATATATTTATGGAAAACTTGTACAGCTTTACTCACTGTTTAATACAAATGGAGGTAGAAAGTGTTTCCATCTTCTCTTTATCATCTTGTTTTTGAAAGAATGAATACTTGAATGTGCCTCTTAAATATAGCTTCATCTATTAACTAAACCCCTAATTTTGGCCGCTTTTAAAAATACTTTTTAACAGTTGCTCTGCTTGCCTCTTGAGTAATGTTAAGACCTATCTTTGGGGTTATTAATACCAATGGTGCAAGAGGTACCTRTGTAATGGGGACTGACCTTTTAAATAGCACATTGTGGCCTGAGTGAAAGCCTTTTCACCTCTCTCATTTTCGGTCAGCGTGTCTAGCTGCATTTTGAAAACTAGATCTAACATTCCTCTCTTAAGGGTTAGTTTTGAACATTTTCCGTGGCATTTTTGAAATGAACAAAAGCYGATGTTCTTAAACATGGGACTTTTGTTGCTCTCCCTTGCTTCCTGTGGAATTTCTGTGTGTGTGACTGTCTCATTTCCCTTGAAAATATGACATTGCCTAACCGACAGGGGTTTATCTCTTAGGTCCCCGAATGGCTCAAAAAATTAGCAGTGTTTCTGCTGTTTGTGTTTCTGTTTGGTAGTCTTGTTCTTGTTGCTGCTTTCTCTGGAGAAGGTAATCCAAGAAATCACCCTGGTTTAGCAATTATTCTGAAAAAGAATGAGGCTACAAAACACACGTGCAAACCTCCAGAAACATTTTGTAAAAGGTATTTTGAAACATGAGTCATCATTAAATAMCACAATAAAACAAAACATTTTGTCACCACAATATCAGGAAGACCTTTTCCATCTCCCGCTGAAAATGCAGCTCATACTATTCATAAATTGGAGTTTGTCTTCAGTTTTGTCTGTTTGATATGGATTGTAGCGATGCCTCATGGTTTCCATGTTTGCTTATTTATTCATTTCTTTKTTTATTAGGAAGAACAGAACCGAGGCAAGCCCAACTGGGAACACCTGAATGAAGATTTACATGTACTTATCACTGTGGAGGATGCTCAAAACAGAGCAGAAATAAAGCTGAAGAGAGCTGTTGAAGAAGTGAAAAAGTTACTGATACCTGCAGTAAGTATTTGTGTGCAAGTCTCAGATTTACATGTCCGGGAGTTCTTCTGAAATATAATTAATAGTGTAGTAGTAAGAGTAAGTTTCCATGGCAGCATTATAAAATTCAAGTTAATATATTAACATATATTTTACATCTTTTTTCATTTACAGTATTTTTACCGATAAACTATTTTATYTTTAGTAATATCATTTCTAAGAATGGAGGAATACTTTTTAAGAGATGTTGATTTCTTTTTTTCTGWCTCTTTTAGATGTAGATATAGGGAATACTCATCGCCTTTAAAAGACAGTGCTGATCCTTTACAAACATCAGCTCTCTCACCTTCCTGCAGTAAAAGGGTTACTTCACTTTAAGGCTAAGCAAACTGACATACTTTTATGTTTCTTTTTGAGGTRATTCTGATACTTGAAGGAACCAAGGTGATTTTCTTAGGTCATCATACTAAGCTYCTTCTAAAAAGAACAAATCCCCTTAGGAGAGTGGCATGATGAGAAAAAAAAAGCTTTGCTATTGCTCGATGGGGGAAAAATAAACAGTCAAACTTACTTGTATTTTCAGTAGCAGTGGGTTTATATATATATATATATTTATTTATTTATTTATATATATGCATATAAAAATATATAAAATTGTATATGCATATGTGTGTRTATATATATGAGTGTGTATGTATGCATATGTGTATGTGTATATAGAAACTTGTTAGAGGTTTTGGGCCATGCTTTGTCTTAGCAGTGTGCTGATTATGTTCTTGTAAGATCTGAAAAAAGCCTGAGTTGAAATTCTGGTCCTAGGAGGATGAGGTCATAAGTGATGTTATTAAAGACTTGTTGTATGACTGGTATGTTTGGTTAGAGGAATGTAGGATGAATTTTCTTTCTCTCCCTGCCTCCCTCCTTTTTGTTTGTTTGTTTATGTGTTAATATAAAATGAATTCAACTTAGGAGCCTTTTTCAGACACCAAGCTTTTGCTTGCCCTGTGAAAGGCAGTCTCTTTGATCTACTGTATATTCTCCCTCAAAGCAAGGAGACTCAGCGTGGCTTTATGCTGCTTTCCATGCCATTAATTTGTATCTTGTGGTGATTTTTACCACTTTGGTTCCACTCTAAATGATAAAAATGCATTTGCATCTTTCTCAGCAGAGGAAATGCTTTCTGTAATCTGAGGAAAAACTGAAATTTATCTCCGGAAAGAAAGGAGCAGTTGCCTTTAAACTGAGCTGGGGACTGAGGGCTGGCTGGGGCGATGCACCCTGAGAGCAGCAAAGCAGCTCAGAGTTGTGGCAGCCAAAAACGTGCTGCAATATACGGCGTGTTTCAAGAAGGTACCAAGGGTGAGGAGAGGAACTTAGTTTCTGAATTAACAAAAATTGTGGTTTTTTTTTTTTTTTTATTTCTAGCTTAATGTATACCTCTTCCTCTGCATATTGTCTGTTAAAGGGAGAAAGTGGATCTTCAAAATGTATGCATGTAAAAGTGATCCTGAGCACATTAGGGTTGACTTACAATGAAGATGAGAAATGGCAAGAAGAAAAGAATATTTTTCATAAGGGCAAAACTGAAACCCTTTGGCTKTGTTCTCTAGTCTCTGGGAACTGAAGTAGGTTTTTGAATATCCACCTTGCAACACACAACTGCTTCCTTTAAAGCTTCCTGTGGTGGTTCTACAACCTCCCTTGTGCTGTTGAATGTGAGATGGCTGAAGGGGTGTCCTGGAGATGATCTGATCGTAAAGAAGTTTGTCTATACTCTGTGTAGGTTTATGTTATGTCTGGTTTCCGGAACTGGTGTCTGTGTGGTGACATGGTTTGGGCCTTTTTAATAAAATAAGCTAAAATACAGGAGTAGTTTTTCTTTGTGATGGGGAAAAAATGGGAATATGAGAAGATTCCCAAGATATTMTACCATGTATAAATGGGAAGTTTGAAATTGTCTTTCATGTAGTAGATATTTGCAGCTATTACTGTTTTCCAAATATATGAGAGGTTTTTCTGTGTTTTTATTTTTTTTCCCTTGTGAATATGAATTTAGTCATTTGGCCTAGGATTTTTACCAAGGTGGTGCTACAGTTGTACAGATTATCCTTAGAAAGAAAGAGGACAGCTTGAGGCACACCGCATGAGCGTGACGTTCTTCTCCTCAAGGGAAAGGGCTGAGGAGCCCTCTTAAATTTTTAATTAACATTTCTTTCATATGAAACTCTCACTGTTTATTGTGGCTCTCTTTCAAGTTGTATGAAATTAATTCTTTCCTCTTCTCATAGTTCAGTGAGATACTGGCCACTCTGTGGACCTGCAAGGTCATGTGGTGGTGCTGCCTCTTTCAGTKTCTTCCTCTTGAGAAAAACAGGAAGGCAAAAGCAGCCTGCAGGTTTTTGGGATCATATTGAACTGTACTTTCCTCAAGCCTCTTTCTCAAGTGAATCCTATATGATATTGATCTCTCCTCTTCGTTAGAGTATTAACATTTTCTTTGTTGTTTGCTAGAGTTCTCCTTCAAGACAAAGATGGTTCTAGATTGTACGCTGCAGAATGTGGAGCAGAGCCTCTGTAGGGGGACTTACTCTCCTCACACAGAGGAAGGATTTCATATGTTATTAAATAGATCATCTTGAATTATATTTCAATATTATTAAAAATCTGCAATTACTCTTCAAAAGTATTGGGCAGTAGAACCAAATTCTCTGCTGTAGAAACGTGAGCATCCTGTATGTCATCCAAGATGTGTTGCCCGAGGTGCACCAGCCGAATGTTTCCTAGTTAGTCCTTTTGCTATACAGGTGTTCAGCTCTCCAGTTACTRTTTCACCTTTATACTGGTTTTCCATAAGCTGAGGGACCTGTCACTTAAGCAAYTGGCCTGCAACACTTAAACTTCTTATTCTTTTTCCCTTTGGCTCCACGTTATTCCTCTCCAAGGAAAGAATTGTCATTGTGGCTTTATTTAAAAACACTTGTTTGAGCTGGTGTCGATTTTTTCACATGTTTTGTCTTGCTATTTCTGGGCAGGGACAGCTGTAATTCTAGCCAGTTGCTGCTTCTGTCGTCTTTGAAGACAGTAAATTAGTATTAGTGGATGATGTTCCCTTTTCAAATTGTATACATCATTTGCTACTATGATAATAGTATCTTTAGATTATAATAGGTAGGAATAATGTTGGGGAAGRATATTGTGTGATTTTAATAGTACATAGTTTTTTGCCTCTAAAAGTGATACTAGACATTTTCAGTCTTAAATAGCTTTAAATTTAACTACGTGCTATGGGGGAAAATGTATCATTGCTGAAAGGAAAAAGTCATTATTTGTAATAAAAATACTGTGACAGTATCACTGGATATTTCTCATAATATTATTGCGAGCCTGAAAGCTTGTATAGGTAATGGTTTACAATAACAAAATTTCACAGGTTTGTACTAATCTCTTGATTTAATAATCTCAGAATCCTTAGAGGAGATGAATGTCAATGGCGAGGATTCATTTAAAAAAGTCATTCAGACACAAAATTCTGTGATAATKATGTTGTTTGTAAAACATTAATTATGGCTTGAAAAATAGATGGGAATCAACAAACAACTGATATTGATGTTTTGTGTATCTTACAGCAGTTTTAAGCATCAGACAACAATTACTGACAGACTTTGATAGTATTCCCAAGCATCGCTTCCTGCTCTAGTGATAGATGCTGCAGTGTTCTAGTCGAGTAATTTAATAGTGGAATAAGGAAAGGATGTCAAATTAAGCAGTTATTAGAACACAGTTAACCACACAAAGAAGGTCTATGACAAATTCATGTGCAACTCCAAATTCTCAAAAACTAAGAAACCATTCAATAGTAGAGGGAAAATTGGATAGTTCTTTCCATATGGAGAAGCTAAAGTTGCAAATGGCTTTAAATTTGCCAATCCTAGGGTCACATTTCAAGAAAAACAAACCTTGGAAAGCTACAAAGGCCCAATATAAAGCAGAAATGTGGGAAAAATGGGAGTAGCAGGGAGATTTCTTTGAAGAAACGTTAACCTGGACAGTATGATGAGAAATATTGGCTGTTTTCAGAGAAAATTAACAACCTGACGTTGTAAGATTTTTCTGTTCCAGTTTGATTGGGCTGGTTCTGGCTTCTGGCTAAGAACAAGCTCACAGCGTTGCAACTTGAGTCTGACTTGTGGAAGGAAGGAGGAAAAACTTGTGCTGATAGTGGGTGCCTTCTGTCCGAGTTGTGACAAAAGATAGGACTGCAGAATCATTTAAGTCAGATGAGTTAAGTAACGTATCCGGGGTTTGTAAATGCAGGAGTTTTGTATAGTAGGCAAAAGGGTTAAGAATAAAGGAAGAGGTGGAAGGAAATCTGGAGAATAACTAGGATTGGAATCTCTTCCTTGAGGATGATGTCAGGTGTCCTTTAGCTGAGAAGAAAAATGAACTTAAAAAAAAAAAAAAAAAAATTTACTGTAATTGTAATCTACCCAGAATTTGAGAACGTTTGGCGATTGATAGTCTTCTTTATGATCGTGCAGTGTCTTGAAATGTATGCCAACAAAAACATCAGCAAAGCTTTGTGTGAAGATGTAATACAGACACAGCTAAACTGGTTAAACATAATAGTTAAACATAAATATTGGTGTTAAATGGTCAGCAGACTCTTCAGTGAGTTCTCCTGCATGGATGTTGTGCAGAGCTGCTTGGGAAGCGCCTCACAGGGGGATCACAGCTACATCGAGTAGTTGGTTTCTTCTGAAATGGGTCCTTTCCATGGCAGCTCTGCTGACACGGAAGGATTTTAACTTTCAGACTTTCTCCTTCCCAAGGTTAGCTGTACTTGTATCAAAGCAGCAGCAGAAAATGACGGTGTGTTTCATCTGATTAAATGTGTTGTATACTGAAAAGGGGTGTTTTTWGTTTTGTTTTRCWATTTGGTACCTTCATTGTAGTCGTKCTTAGCATGCAGGCTAAGTGACCTGTCTCAGTTCTTGGTTACTAGAAACACCATCAAAYGTAAC